TTCTTAGGATGACGATGATGATTTTTCGTTTTAAGGATGATGATGATGATGATGATTTAGGATTTCTAGGATGATGATGATGATCATTGGAATGGAGTTTTCTGTTTGTTTTTAGGATGATGATGATGATGATGATGATGATGATGATGTTGATGATAATTTAGGGTTTCTAGGATAACGATGATGATTTTTTCTTTTTAAAGATGATAATGATAATGATTGGAAAGTTTTTTTGAAAAAAATAAAAGATCTGTCGATAAATAATTTGTAATTATAAGAAGCATGCTAAAATTTGAAGTAAAAATGAGTGCTAACAAATGCTTTCATTTTTTTTCGAATCTTTGCATAACAATATGAACTTTTTGATTAATGAAGTTATTTGAAAATGTTATTTTTTAGGTAATTAACAAAGGGTAGGTAATTAACTTTTTTAGGTAATTAATTGCCTGGAAATTGGAAACAATAGTAATAAAAGTAATTAACTGAAATCTTTAAGATGTCGAGAAATCCGAAACGGTTTTTTTTTTTAAATTTAGCTATGATTCATATTAATTAGTAATATTTAAATTTTCCTCCCTTTTTGCTTATCCATATTAACTCTCTTATATACGGTAATGGACAACAAGTGTATTATCATAGTGCATTACCTATTACTGTATCGTTTAGGAATTGTGTTATAAAACAATCTTACTATTGTTATGCATATATAATCATTCATTTCGGATTCCTTCTTATCTCTTATCTGTTATCACTATTATCAGTTCTTAATTCTGATAGTCTCTGTTTATCTCTTTACTTATCTATCGTTATTCCGACTATATATTTCGTTTATTTAATTTTAAATTATTCAATTTATTTAATTTTATTATTTAATTTTAATTACTGTCCTAAATTTTTTTTGATTAATTACTATTTCAGATTTTTTTTACCTAATAAAAACTACTTTACAGAATACAACATTACTGATTGCAATTTAAAGGTTCGAATTTTACAACATTACTTCATCAAAAGTAAGTCGTCCTTCATTTTTAACAATATTTCGATTAAAATTGTAAACTTCCGCAACATGAGATGCGATGATTTCTGCGACATGAGACATGAGATGAGATGATTTCTGCGACATGGAACATAAGATGAGATGATTTCTGCGACATAAGACATGAGATGATTTCTGCGACATAAGACATGAGATGATTTCTGCGACATAAGACATGAGATGATTTCTGCGACATATGACATGAGATGAGATGAGATGATTTCTGCGACATATGACATGAGATGAGATGAGATGATTCCTGCGACATA